CAGTTGTTAAGTGAATCACTGCAGTTAATAAGTTAGTAACGCAGTTGTTAAGTGAATCTGGCTTCCCCATTGACTGTGCTTGTCAAAAGGTTGCAAAGGTTGACCAAATGACCTTGGGACACAGCAACAGTCATAGGTATGAACCAATTGCCAAACATCTGAATTTTGATCACATAATCATGGAGATGCCACAAAGGTTGCAACTGTGAAAAATGGTCATAAGTCGTTTTTTTCAATGCCATTGTAACTTTGAACAGTCACTAAATGAACTGTTGTAAATCGAAGACTACCTGTATTGGGAATATTTCTTTTTAAGTTATCTTCAAGTAATTCTGACTCTTGGTCATTGCACAGTCAAGTCCATGTGTAAATGGTTTGCCACTGCCTCCTTCCTACAGCTTAGAGCAGTGATGGCTAACCTTTTCTGGACCGAGTGCCCAAAGCATGCACGCACACGAATGTACGCACACGCGCCCGAACCCCCAAAATGCAATGCATGTGTGGCCCCTGTGCATGTGCCCCCGCCCCCACACATGTGCGCACTCTGTGTGCCCTGCCTCCCGCATGCATGGGCATCCCCACGTGCATGCACGCCCCCTCCCGCCCCCATGCATACGCGGCAGATACCTGAAGACCAGATGGCCAGTGGGAGGCACGTGCACACGTGCAGCAGAGCTGATCTCAGGCGTGCCATAGGTTCGCCATCACAGTCTTAGAGAAACTGACTTGGTTACCGTTCTAGCATATGGATCAAACACATGACCTCATAAATTACTTCTTTGGCCCACTATTAGCAACCAGAGCAATTCATTGGGGCATCTGATCTTTTAACAATTCCAATTTCCTCTACATCGTAACACACAATTCATTCCCTCTTCTTGGTATACAATTTGTATCCCAAGTTCTCTCTATTGTACCAGATAGATAGATTTTCCAATTACTAGAGTGAAACATGGAAATATTTATGAAAGAGCAGAATGAGAGGAAAGTGAAACTTAAAAATGAAGTTATGAATGAATTTACATTATAAAAAACCTTGTGAATTTTTTTAAAAATTGCATCTCTGCTTCAAGGCAACATTCAGAAAATACTTCCGCATTTATGACTATCATAGTAGAAAACCAATTGTCACTCTAACTTGTTTAAGAATCTATTGACAACCAAGTAAGTCAATTATGCAAAGTTTTGAATGTTGGCTATCTTGTATATTGAAAAGACGGGAAATTATTCACAGGGAAAGGAAAAATACAAAGCTTTTTCAATTGCTTTGTCCGACTTAAGATGTTGTAGCAATGTAGAAATGCTTGGGGGTGTGTGGGGTTGTACTTACCCTTCAGCGAAGATGAAATAGATATATACCCTTAAGTTCCTCTTCTAGTCATAAATACTCTCAGAGGAAAAGAGAAGTGGAACACCCACCCAATAGCCATCTGTATTCAAAAGAAAGCACCCTTTTAATTTTAAATGTTAAAATAACCACATTTGTGCTACATCCTAACCTGAAAATAAACAAGCAAAGAAAAAAGATGGAAGATAATGAATGCCTAATTATAGTTACACAAAATATCTGCTTCTTTTTCTTATAGATTATACTACAAATATTATTTGCCATGGTGCTTCCACAGTAGAATGCCAAATTTAGCATATATTCTGCACATTCTTGCTTTTTAATATTAATTATTTTATTCTTGTTTTTAACTGTTTTTAAATTTATATTAAGCTTTTATGTTTTAATAAAACTGTTTATTAATAAACACTCTATTTAAACACTGTCCAGAGTTGCTCAATGAGGGAGCATTTTATATTAAGCTTTTATGTTTTAATAAACACTGTTTATTAATAAACGCTCTATTTAAACACTGTCCAGAGTTGCTCAATGAGGGAGATAGGTGGTTTCTCAATTAGATAGATAGATAGATAGATAGATAGATAGATAGATAGATAGATAGATAGATAGATAGACAGACATGATCGACAAACAGACTGACTATAAAAACTGTATATGCAGCATAGACCAAGTCAACCCATACATACTATGACAAAAAAGGTGAGAGTTCTTAACACACTTGTGTTCTTAACACAAAATGCTTCTCTAGCATTTTGGAAGGAATAGTATGCATTAACAATCAGAAGCTAAAGTATACAGAAAAATTGGTTCATTTTGTATTTCAAGGTAAAATTTCATCCTCAGAATAAATCCCACCCTGACACCTTTGCTGAACAATTTTCCATTGCAATTCTAACCCACAGATCTACAAAAGTTGCCTTAACTGAATGTTTTTCTAATGTCAATGCTCTACGGCTTTCTCTTACAATCCCAAGCTTCTTTCCTTTTTTGGATAGAGAGCAAAAGCTATTATTTTTGGTTACAATTTTTTTATATTACAAACAAATTACTTTTCTCTAGTTTTAAAAATTACTACAGTATAAGTTCAATATTTTAGATAGGGAAGAGTCAATACATTCTATCTGAAAGAATACTAATTTTGGCCATATCTGCAATACAGGATAATTGATTTCTGCTTGATGCAATTACTACCATGTAAATGACATTCATAGTTTTGCGTATATCTCTATTTAAGATCCTTTTAAAAGTTGGTTATGGCTTCCTCAATCAGAACCATGGCTCAAGGATTTATCTTTTTTTCATTTAAGAGTAGTGCTACTTACACAGACATATTGAACAATTTTGTTTTCACAATTCAATTGTGGTTTAACACTTGAATACAATTGCTATCAACAAAGCTGCAAGAAATCTTCTAAATCCTACCTAAGAAGCATAAAAATAGTAAGAGGTGTTCTCGGGTACCCTATTCAGTCTGCTGTATTATTTTGACAATCCTCTGGAACCTGATGCTCTTCAGGTTAGTTGAATTTTATTTCCAATAATTCCAAGTCAACACTGCCACAATGATAGGAGGTTATGGCGACTAAAATCGGAAGTACTTTGGGTTAGGGAAGGCTGATGTAATAACATAAGGCTGTTTCAGCAAGCATAATTACCGGTATATAATGAGGGGTCTGCTGTCTACCTTCAAGGCAGCAGTTCTTACTGCTGAAGGAAGGAAAAACAAAGCAAAACCAAACCAAAGAAAAGGTTATTAATTTTAAAACCAGCAGTTGACTTATATGAGTAATTCTTCCCCAGACACACATACCACATCTTTGGATTTGAGCCACTATGTTGTAGGGGCTATAGCATGAATATAGCAGCCAGTTTCTTTCCCCCTTTTCTCTTCATATACATTCATAAAATATAAAGTAAAAAGAAGTACAAAGAATGTATCAAAGTGGTACATTCACCACACAAAAATATCATAGAACGAAAAGGATGTTTCTCTGTTTTACATGGAGTTTCAATATAGCAAGTGAAGCTAATTCTTTTTCACATCCTGGAAAATAACTCAAAAGTTGAGTTTACATTATGGGAATGACCATGACTGAATGGTTCAGCACATACTTTGCATCAGGGGTAAAATGTAAAATTTGTTACTACCGGTTCTGTGGGCGTGGCTTGGTGGGAAGTGGTAATGTGACTGGGTGGGCATGGCCAACTTTTTTTTTTTTTTTTTACTTTTCAAAACATTTTTTCTAATGCTTTGAAAAGCCTCTGCTGATCAGGCAACTCAGCTGGGATGGTCAGAGAGGCTTTTTAAAAAATACCTCTCTGCCGATCAGGCAACTCAGCTGGGATCGTCAGAGACTTTTCAAAGCATTTTTTTTACCACCTCTTCGGCCAAGAGGTTGCAGAAAAAAATGCTTTGAAAAGCCTCTGACGATCCCAACTGAGCTGCGCAATCATCAGAGGCTTTTTTTTTTAACTTTTAAAAGCATTTTTTCTTCGGAACAGGTTGTAGAAAAAATGCTTTTAAAAGTAAAAAAAAAAAAGCCTCTGATGATCATGCGGCTCAGCTAGGCATAGGGGAGGGGCAGGGATTTTTGCTATCGGTTCTCCGAACCACCCGCCGCCATCACTACCGGATCAGGCGATCCGGTCCGAACCGGAAGCATTTCACCCCTGCTTTGCATTCAGAAGGTCTTTGATTCTACCCTGAGTTCTCTTTAAAATGTATCAGATAGGTGATGTTCTCTGCTTAACAGACTGATGGGCTGCCTCAACAGAAGAAACATTAACTAGATAGACAAGCGAGTCACATCTAGTAAATGGAAGATTTTCATACTCCAAGAACAGCTTCACATCAACAGTACACCAATATTTTGTCAAAACATCTATACACAGAGGGAAAAGCTTTGACAAATACCAGACAGGTATGCACAGATATCATATTTTATATCTTTATTACAAAAAATGTTGATACTCCACCAACCAAACAAGAGTGCCACATTAAGCAGGGAGATATTCTGAATCTGGACGCTATTATCCTTGATTGTTAGATTCTTACATTAGCAATAACATAGAAATTAAAGGTATTATTTGAAAGGCAGGACACTGCCTGATGTTTAACTTGTATTGCCTTCACTGATTCAACTCCCTGGATTTCAGACCAGGATCCTTTGATGAGTAACATAAATTCTAATACAGAGCCCCGGTCTATTTTTATAAAAGCTCTGATATGCTGCATTCATTTAGACATAAAATGAATATCCAGAACTAGGAAAATGCATTAAAATCTAAGTACAAATGCATTTTCTGAATACAATCCAACCGTGTTAAGTAATTTAATATCTGTTCAATTCTAATGGATTTAAAGACTAAGTTAGCCCTGCTATAGAAATCAATGGAAGTTTATTGTAAATACAGGTAGACCTTGGATAGTTTGTGCCTGTGTATATTTGCGGGTCCCAGCTATCAAAATATGTAAGATAGATGTTTTCAATAAATTTGAACCAGTTAGACCAGTGGTGAAATCAAATTTTTTTTCCTACCGGTTCTGTGGGTGTGGCTTGGTTGGGTCATGTGACTGGATGGGCGAGGCTATGTAGTCATGTGACGGGGGGGCCAAAAGACAGAAACTCACTTTAACAATGTCCTGCTGGAGCAGGGGGTTGGACTAGAAGATCTCCAGGTACCTTCCAGCCCTGAATTGATTGCTGTGCTCTTTCAAGGTATCCTCTGAAGCTGCGTCTAGTGCCAGGTTTGTGGTCCTTCCTCCCTCGCCTTTTTCCCTCCCTCCCTCCCTCCCTCCCTTTCTTTTTCTTTCGTTCTTTTTCTTTTTCTTTCTTTCTTTCGTCCTTCCTTCCTTCCTTTGCAGCACCCACCCCACCCCGTTTTTGGCCTAGCAGGCTTCAGGGAAGCCTCCTGGAGCAAAAACGGACCCCCACCCCCCATTTTTGGCCTAGTAGGCCTCAGGGAAGCCTTATGGGAACAAAAACGGAAAACCCCCCCTCTGTTTTTGGCCTAGCAGGCTTCAGGAAGCCTCCTGGGAGCAAAAACGGACTTTTCCCAATAGGTAGTAAAAAATGCTTTAAGAAGTTTTTTAAAATTTCCGAGGATCGCACGGCACAGCTGATTGTCACAGCTGATTGTTGGAACCTTTTTTTTTTTAGGTTTTTAAAGTATTTTTTTACTACCTATTGCCTGAATGTGTAGTAAAAAAAATGCTTAAAAAAGGTAAAAAAAACCCAGTTCAGACGATCAGCTGTACCATGCCATCGTCGGAACCTTTTTTTTTTTTTGCTTTTTAAAGCATTTTTACTACCAGTTTGGTGAATCAGTCACATTTGTTACTACTGGTTTGGGCGAACTGGCCAAAACTGGTAACATTTCACCCCTGAGCTAGATCCAATCAACAGAAATGAACTTTGAATAATTTAGGCATGTGTACATACTGTAAACATATAGTACAGGCATGTGGAAATTTATATAGTACCTACTACATATGGGCAACATCATACGGAGCTATGTTTCTCTTAAATGTATACAATTATGCACATTTATGTATTAAATTCTAATATTACATCTACTAAAAAAGTCATACCCTGTTTTCCCCAAAATAAGATAATAAGCCCAATCGGGCTTTTGAGTGCATGGCAATAAGGCCAAGCGCTTATTTCAGGGTTCAAAAAAATATAAGACAGTTTGTTAAGTATGGTTTTATTGAATGATTCAGAGTTCTGTAACACCTTAGCTTATGTTCTCAAACAAAAGATTAACTAAACAAAGATACTTGGATTAACAATTCAAGATTATAAAATGCTTTCTTTGAAACCTATTCCTCTTCCAAACTGCCTACTTTTCAGCAGACAATTTAAACTCTTCCATCAGTTGCCCCAAAGCAGTTTCCAGATAATGAGCACAATTTTACAATGGTTTCTCATGTATAAAGACTTCATGTCCATTGTTGTATCAAACCCATATGCACAGCACATTAAAATTTCACATTTGTACCATCTTACAATGCCAACCCAAAAAAGCTCCCCTAGTAAAATGATCTTTAAATAAAAAAAAAAAGGATATACGCTTTTAAATATTTCAAGACAGGAAACCCTTTTGTTTCATGAAAAGTTAATTCTGCAGAGAGCTGCATTATGGTCTCTTTCACCCAACTTTCCACCAGTGTATTCACCAAATTGGGAGCTGTCTACAACTGATGGAGTGCTGAACATCAGAAACAGCTGCCACTCCCTGGGAAGTAAGTAGAGAATAATGAAGAGCAAAGCACCAGCAGAACAAAAGGAAATCCATCTTTATTTACCAACTGCTGCAAGCTTCTTGACGCATCAAGCTTATTTGAACATCAGTCTCCAATTCATAGCAGAGTGCAATTAAGAAATAGCAACTTAACAACCATATTATCCCTATTTTGGAAGGGTTTTTTTTTTTTTTTTTTTTAAAGCAGCAGTAGTTTAAAGCACCAGTAGTCTGCACAGTCTAAATGTTGCAACTCTGAAAGGACCCATAAAAGTCTGCAAAACGTTTCAAGGTTGGAAAAAGACACATCAGAGTTTCAATGATTCAGGTACAAAATGTTTTGCATACCTCTGCGCAGCAATTCTATGCAGGCATGTTGGTTTGGCATATGTGCCCCATCAAGAATAGATAGAATTTTCTGTTAAACAGATAGTTCAAATCTCACCAGTATCTTAAAATGTGCCGAGTTGCTTTAGGCAAAACTGCTCCCATTCCATGCCATAGTTGTCCTAATACATGCATAATAGACTTTTTACATGATTGCATTAAGTTATTATGTGTGAACCAACTTGAAGATTCAGAAAAAAAGTGCTATATAAATGCTAAGTGACAGCCGGTATACATGTGAAAAATGCTACTTGCTCTCTGGTATGTGTACCTGATTGAGATGTCCCAGTTTTCTTTCACACTAGCAGGGGTGGGTTCCACTTACCTTTACTACCAGTTTGCAACAGGAGCACGCACTTGCTTCACTCGCTCTTCTGCACATGTGATGACGTCAGGGTGAAGGGGCAGAGCCTCCCGCCGCCATTACTACCAGTTCTCAAGAACTGAACCGGGAACAACTCACCACTGACACACAAGTATTCATATACAGGAGGGGTCCCCAACCACTGGGCTGCGACCCAGTGCTGGGCCTCAGCCCATTTGGAACCAGGCTGTAGAAGTGGTGAGCAAGTGTGCATGGGCACACAGGCAGCTGCATTTGTGAAAGCAGCGAGCCCACGCGCATGAAACCATCCCCTCTCTCCCCACACACCCTGCCACTGCCACCCCCTCTGGTAGTCCGGAAAAGTTGGAGACTTCTGATATATAGGATTCAAATTACTGAATCCAGAAATCCATGGAATCTTCAAATACTAATTCCAGTATTAGAGGTTAGAGACAAGTTTCTTACTGTTAGAGACAAGTTTCTTACTGTTTCAATTTAAGCTTATTTTGCATATAGGTTGTGGGGAACTAAAACTCATGTACAAACTCAGATTGATTCACAAATGCATTCAAAATCAGCAAGACTTGGAAGTTCTTGTGCATGCCTTTTCTAAACCTCTTAGAATAATACAACAAATAGCTATGAAGAAGCATAATGCCAACTACAATTCAGACCTTACCCATAATTTCTGATCTAGTTAGACATACAGTATATATATTTAAAGCCTATTGACCAAAGAACAAAGAAATAAATGGTACTAAATAGTTCATGTATTAATTCTAGAATCCTAAAATTACTAAAACAATAATTTCTTTAATTAAAAAGGGCATAACACATTCTCTTCAGCAAGTTCTGTGTTTACTTAAGTTTTAAATTACCAAGAAATGTTGACTGCTGGGGTCGTGTTCTTAACTGACCTGCATTATATACCATGTTTCCCCAAATATAAGACCCTGTCTTATATTTTTTTGAACCCTGAAATAAGCGCTTGACCTTATTGCCATGCGCTCAAAAGCCCGATTGACCTTTTTATCAGGGGATTTCTTATTTTGGGGGAAACAGGGTAGGTAATATGGACCTTGTATTGTAACCAGTGTTTCAGTTCCAGAATTCACCACTACTTTGAAGGAGGATAATTGCTGGGGCCACAATTCAGAAGTATTTGGTTTTCTACAATGGAAATTTGGATGGGGACTTAAGTGAAGCTCTCATTCCAATCTCTGTGCAAGAGAACTTATGCACTTGGGCAGAAAAAAAATTCTAGAATTTGCATTAACATGTGCCATAAAAATAGTGTTAACAGCCCCCCCCCATTACTCATAATCACAGGATGGCTTGATTCCAGTTCTGTGTGGAAAGGCAAGGAAGATAGAGATCAAGATCAAGGACAAGAAACAATGGTTGGAAACTAATCAGAGAGAGAAGCAACCTGGAATTAAAGAGAAACTTCCTAACAGTGAGGACAATTAACCAGTGGAACAGCTTTGCCTTCAGAGGTTGTGGATGCTTCATCACTGGAGGTTTCTAAGAAGATTCTAGACAGTCACTTATCTGAAATAGTATAGGTTCTCCTGCTTGAGCAGGGGGCTGGACTAGAAGACCTCCAAGGTCCCTTCCGGCTCATTCATTCTAAAGTCCTTTCACTTATCTCTTTCAAATGTAAGGATTAAATCAGCCTCCTACACTGTAATGACATCCAGGTGTGATAGTCTTCACATCTGGAAGGAACCAGGTTGGGAAAGGCTCAATCAGACCCGTTCTTCAACTTGGCTGTTACTTTTGTGACTAAGCTGGCCTTTCATTCACAGCAGATAGTAGATCAGAGCTAGAAGCTTCAAGTTCCCATATCAGGCTTCTTAGCTGCAAAACAACTATTTTCAGTTTCAAAAAAGTCCACTCACCATCATGTTCCATCTAGCCGGGCTGGCTTGACCCCATCCTTACAGTTTTAAATTTATAATTGGTTTTAATTGGGTTATTTTAAATTGATGGCCAAAATTATTTAATGTTTTTTAAATTGTTTTTAAATTTTGTATGTTGTGTTTTTACCGTGGCTGTTCACCGTTCACTTTTATTTTTCTATCCTAGAAGCCCTGGAATATGCATGTAGCTCATTGCCCCTTTTAGATTATTAGAGCAGCTGGAAAAAAGAGAGAAATTCCAGTTGAGGAATCTATTCAGCAGAATTTTGTGGGATAGGGCGGAAAGGGAGAGAGAAAAGGAAAGGGGGGAAAAGAACCGGAGAGAGAATGTGAGTGCAAAACCCAAAATATGCTAATGTGGCCACAAATATGCTTTTGAGGAGATGAAGAGTTCTGGGTTGCCCCTTGAGGAGAGGCACACAAAAGCAACAATCCTGCAGATTATTTTGTTATTTTTCCATGCCCAGTCACTCTTTGGGATGCACATTCAGACTCTGCCTCCAACAGACAGCTGCAGGAGACTGGACTGTGCTCTGCATTTCAATCAGCCTGTAGAGACTCCCGTGGAGGATGCTCCCCAATAGGAGAGGTCAAGCCCGAGTCAGCAGACGGTCTGCACCCAGACCCTTTGCTCTGGCAGCTTAGCTTTCACTGACTATATATGGAAGCCAGTTCTGATGGCAGCCGTGTTCCGAGGAAGGCCAATTAACAGCAACGTGGATCTGCCTCCGCCTCCTTCCACAGGCTACTATGGAGAGAACCCCAACCGCTTTCTCCATCTCCCCCCTCCTTCCTGCAGTTCAACCCTACATGGCAATGATTGACAGGAATGGCAACAGGTTAAGAGTGGCCTCTGCTTCAGGAATTGCT